AGGAAGTAATGACAGCAAAACGACGAATACCAGTGTCACTTACAAAACTTTACGAGCAGTATTAATTAATTTCGAACATCAACGAAATGTTTATAGAGAAAATAATCCTGCTTTTAAATTTAAAGATAAAAAATACAAATATGTTACAACTGCGGTAAATCAGTACATTACGGGAAAGATTATTTGTTTCTAAGAGACAGAAAAAAATAAATAGAAATATAACAGCATATCTGCTTTCAGCCCAACAAGTATTCAAATAATAATACTTCGTATGGAAATAAACTTAATAAATTTTATTATCAAGCACGTAATAAAGATTTCTGCTGCACTACTTCAAATGATATACAAACATATGAACATCGTGGAATAAACAGCAAACAGGAACATGTACAAATCATTTCTCACAACTATAATGAAGTATAATCTGCTAATGTTGAATGGATACTACGGTCAGAGTGCTTATCTAATATGGTCAACGACATTAATCTGTTATCATTGTAAATCAGAAGTAGTGAGATTTCTACGACAGATAAAGATAAAAATATAGTATATTTCATGGGGAGATGTTCATGTGAGAGCGTAGGTTTCCGGGACCATGGTCAGTAGTTATTCGGTTGTCCAGGAGACGCCGCGTCCTAGGCACAGGTGCTAGCGTTTCGGGCGCCATTTTGTGATCACTCTCAGGGCGAAGTGCATTTGGGGAGGAGAGATGGGAGAACGAAAGCAGAGAAGAAGCCAAATATTTAAGATCAGATAATGGCACTGAATTTACAAAAAGATTTACACATTATTGTAAAAATAAGTATTAGAACAAGAATTCACAACTATTTACTCCCCTCAGAGTAACAATTGCTAAAGGGTCTAAGGGGACATTTATAATAACCACCGTACATGTTATCCTCTTAGGGTCCAACCTTCCTCTAAAGTTTGGGCATAAGCGAAGACAATAGCAATGAATTTACATACTTTCCTTACAATAAAGCAAAAAATATAACTCCAATGGAAATATGGAGAGGTAAAAAAATGTCCGGTGAAAATGTCATAGTATTTCGATATAAAATATTCTTCAGAAATGCATTAACAACATAAATTGGATAGAAGAGGTAAAGAAGGAATTTTTGGTGGAAACGTAAGAACTGGGTAAGCATATAGAATTTATGATATTGAAGAAAACAAGATTATTGAAAGCGGAAATGTAGTGTTTCTTGAAAAAGAAAATTGATACTGTAATGATTTAACTGACAAACATCAAGAAATCCATTAGATTACATCGTCATATTGATAATTTACCAAGAAATAAAAGTAACACATTCACATTTGAATTTGAAGAGAATGATTATCCATCAACTGATTAAATTAATGAAGATATAAATACTCACAAATCAGATGAATTCAATATCAATAATCAAGATACTCAAACATTACATAGTGTTCCAATAAATATGAAGTGAAAAGCACAAGAATCAATTGAATCAAAGTGAATCTAATACTATCAAATTAAGAAGAAAATCGTCCAGACAAAGAAAACAATCTGGAAGATACCACACCTTTACTACTAATTTACTATATTATACTATTATATTAATACTACTAATGAAGTTATTTCAAGAATATTTAAAGAAGTAAGTGTATGTAAAGATTTAGAAGAATCGGCGAAAACAATTAATAAAGAACTACTCTCTTGAAAGAATTATAATGTATGGGAAATAGTTAAACTAGGCTGTAAAGATATCATAACAGAAAAATGGATATTTAGTTTGAAGGAAGTTGAAGGAATAAAAATTATAAAGCGGTGCTAGTAGCAGTCAGATCCAAATTGAAAACGAACAATTATGATGATATTTTCGGCCAGTAAGAAACCAGAATTATTTAAATTGTTTATTGTCATTAGCTAGTATTAGAAACTGCAGCATAAAATTTGTAGACGTAGAAACAGCCTATTTAAATGGAAATTTAGGGAAGGAAGTTTACGTGGTCCAGCCTGGGTGGCCGAGGTGACTAAGAGTAGGTGCCTACTCAGCGCTTCCGTCCGAAGGGTCACGGGTTGGAGTCCCGCCTTGGGCATGGTTGTTAGTGCCTTTCTCTCATGTAGGAGTTGTCGCGGTGGTCCTCGCGTTCTGCTGACCCCATATCAGAGGATCCCGCAAGTGTAATGATGACCAATGTATGGTCGAATGCATCGGGACGTTGTAGGGTACGTATGCGTCCCATCGGGACGTTAAGGGTAGCCAGCTGCCGGCTGGATAAAAGTTACATGAAAGTTCTCGAAGGATTAAATGTAGAAGGTGGAAAAGTGCTTAAAATGTGTAATATTTTTTTATGGACTTCCTGAAGCAGGAAAATGTTGGTACAATTAGTTTTTAAATATATTAAATAAAATGGAATTGGAGAGAACGAAATTTGATCCTTTTGTGTTTAAAGGATACTATAATGGAAAATTCATAGCTATACTGTGGAGAATGTTTTGATGACTATTATTACTGGACAAATAAACGAAGAGACAATTAAAGGGATGAATGCTTTGAAAAATGATAAGGAAACTGTTGAGGAAATAAAGGAAAATGTCAAGTATTTAGGTATTGACATTAAAAGAAATTAAAATGTTTTTTTATTTATTTCAAGAAAAAATATATTGAAAATATTTTTAAGACATTCAATTTATCAGAATGTAATCCAGTCGAGACTCTAGACATAATAGAATTATCATTAGGCCAATATGAAGATTCAAAAAGAGTCCATAAATTAAAATTCATGGAAATATTGTACTTGGATGTATACATTACTTAGAGGAACTAGACCTGATTTAGCATTTACCGTAAGTACATTATCCCAATATGCTGAAAAGAGGAGTACATATGAATGCTTTAAAAATATTTTTGGGATACATTAAAGGAACTAAGAAATATCCATTACACTTAGAAAATAAAATGGGAAAACAGAATGTAAACTCTGATGCAAGTTGGTGGACTACTGAAGATTGCACATTTTTTGGAGGACACAATTAAAATTGGTAATAATTTAGTATCATAGAAATGTAACTTGCAAAATTTAGTATTATTATCTACAATAAATAAGAATTAGTTACAGTATGCAGTTGAATAAGTGTTAGTTATTGGCAGTTAGTGGATCACTCAATTATTAGAAGCACTGGAACAGAATGAATTTGTTATGAAACCAGTTGTAATTAAAATAGATAGCAAAGCTGAATTAGATTGGTGTGAAATACGTTAGTGGATGCTAGAAACAAGCACATAAAACCAGTGGCGGCCTGTACGGAATCCTATTGTTGGTGTCAGTGATGCTACATGGACAACAAAACATCGACGTTACTAATTACCAATGTTCAAAATTAAAATATCGATCGAAAATCATCGATATTTGTAAACATCCCTGCGATATTTTAAAACGGAACCTTCGGAAGTATTTCGAGGGTGACGTTTAAAGCTGGTTAAGTAATCTCTAAAATAAACAACACACTTTATGTTGGGATTACCCTCGCTCTCTTACGCCCATTGCTTAGTCAGCGACGTTATTTAGATATTTTCAATATATTCAACATTATATATATACTGCCTGACAGAAACAGTGATGCACCCAGAAGGAGTGGTTCGAAGTGAATTAAACTGCACATGCTGAAAGACCATGTGCCTTTAAACAACTGATTACAATATGGGATGAAAGAGACAAGGCCGCTGGCAGTTACAGATGGAATGTTGGCGCCAGGTAAGTAGGGTTGTCGCACCTCCTGTGGCTGCAAAGCATGCCCTTATGCGGTTCGGAATGGTGTCAAACAGCATCTGGATCTTCTCCTGAGGCAAGTTCGTCCATAGTTGTTGCAGCTGTCCCCTTCCAATGTCACCCCACACGTGTTCCTGGGTTCGGGGATCTTCTTAGGTCCAGGTATCTTGCTGGCCACAGGAGGACCTCAACATGCTCTAGGCAGTCCATAGATATTCGTACTGTGTGTGGGCGTGCATTATCTTCTTGAAAAACTGTACCTGAGTGCTGTGGCGATGGAGATAGTATTCGGATGCATAATGTCTGTGACGTATCGCTGTACCATCAAAGGCGATTTGAATGCATGTCCTATGGCTATCCACACAATGATGCCCGGTGTTACGCTTGTGTATCTCTTCACAATATGGGGAGGATGTGGTTTCTGTCCTTCACACCGCTACACACGAACACGATAGTCATCGGAGTATATGACGAAGGGGGCCTCATCACTGAACATGCTGAAACGCCATTCGTCCTCTGTCCCTGCATCCCGGGCACGGCATCAATCCAAACGCCGACGTCGGTGTTCTGGTATCAATGGCAACCGACGCATGGGGCGGTGGGACCCCAATCCGGTGGATGCTACTCGTCGAGTCAATGTGTAGGATCTCACAGGATTGCAGAATAGAGTTGTCAGTACATGTTCGTGGATGTCGGGTGCCGACGTCATGAGATTCCACTGCTTGGTGCGCCATACGACGGTTCTCTCTCGGGGTGATGATTCTTGGTCGACCCGAGCCTGCACGACGTGCATGGCTGCCCTCATGTACGCACTGATTCCAACATCGGGCCACTGTGGCATCTGAATGGCTCACATGCGTGGCAATTACATGAAACGATCAACCAGCCTCATGAAATCACACAATGCGTCTGCGCGGTATCACGTTCTGTACATTAACGATGTTCTCTGCTATATGGCTCGCCGCAGTTGACCTATAACCACAGCGCAACAACTGGGCGGTGACATCACGACTGTACTCTGGTGGCCATTCTACACATTACAAATCCGTGTGAATCTAATCATTTACTCACACATCAATGGTATGCTTGTGTACCGAAATGGCCATAATACGAAATAATGTTAGACCGCTTCTTCTGCGTGCCACACTTTTTGTCAGGCAGTGTATATACATATATAATCTGGAAACAGAATTGGCTCATAATTTTTAAAGACGTATGTCCCTAATCTGCCTTCCAAAACTTTAATATTTCTTCTGTTGCAGGACAAACCGTGGGTGTTTGCACACTTACTGCAAATACAGCGGCGACTTGGAAAGGATAATTTCCCTCTTATTGAACAAACGTATTATCCTGTTTACCGAGAAATGGTAAGTAGTGACGTGTGAGAGTTATGATGTATGTCTTAAATGAACCAATGAATTAGGACTGTTTTTAGAAACAAATCGGCAGTTGTTTCCCTTTTTTCATGAAACAAAAGATGCGCAACCTAGTCCACCCTCTGGTGGACTCATTCTTTAACAAGAACCTTTTTTCTACTCTGTGGGAAACTCCCAGTTTTTCAATTACGGTAGTGTTTAAACGAAGAGAGAGATAAACATGCGGCGTTTGCTTCCTTTTTTTACCCCGGGAGGTAAACCTCCGCTAGGTAGAAATGCCTGAGTCTTCTCCTCTGGTAACTCAGAGTATCACTGTGTAATTAAGTTAAACATAAAACTTCAATAGGCATTGCAATTGGTAGATTCAAATATTATAATCATTTCCTGTTAGTAAAACCTTACTTGGCATGACGTTGACAATATAGGACAAAATGCGCTGCATTGAGGTCACATCCGTGGCAGTGGGTCCCTGTCTCCCGTCCCGATCCACACATTCTAATGGCCCCAGGGGTTCTCAACGGGGACGGTATTGATTTATATCGTAATATTTTTTACCTTTAATGTTTTGTTTATGACTGCCAGAGCACGCCAATGCAAAGCAGACACTTCTCTAAGAATATTTACCGGCCGAGGTGGCTCAGGACATCAACTGATGACACTGCCGTGCCTGTATCCGAGAGATTCTATGGTTCGAGTCTCGACCATTGAATTTCGACCCCAGCTAAATTGCTAAGTCCAATACAACCGATGTCTGGAGGAAAATTCTAGCGTCCGGCTGCTCTGATCGGTACTTATCTGTGGCTTCAATCAACACCAGGCAAATGCCGTAGCATTACCCTAGCAAACGGGCCTCGTACCGCACGTGATCTTTCCTTCCTCTTGCTTGTCCTATCCTCACCTCTTACTTACACCCACACTTACATGTATTACAGTATTACACAAGTCGAGAAGACGAGTCGGCAGTCTAATGTTTGTCCCTGAGGGGGCGGTGCCGAGAGATGTCTGAGTAGGGAATACCCCGTAAGTTGACGTGTAGTTCGGAGCTGGATCTCGTCATCCAGCGGGGAAAGAACATCGCCACCTTCCATGATAAAAGCATGTTGTGCACATACGGGACTAATAACCTGAGTAGTTGACGCACCCAGAATTACGAATCAATCAGTTGTTTGGCCATCCCTCATGTGTGTGTCTCACTGCAATGAACCCACACGCGATTCTGATCATCTGTTCATATTACACATCTCATTTCACTTAGCGCTCGGCTTTCCGTAAACTCCTTAGTTGGTCTCGATGAAATCGTTGCATGATTAAGAATGAGAGATATCAGCCACTGAAGGTTTTAAGTTATTTTATATTTTGATATTATTATCCAAACGTTTGGGCAATTTTATCCCATCTTCAGTGGTACTACAGAGAGGAAAATACTTTGCAAATCAAATATAAGTATGAAACGTAACGGACGTAAAATAATAATAGTAACAACAATAATAATTTATTATATTTATAATAATGATTATTATAAGTCGGCCGCGTGGCGCAGACGGTTGCGGCCCCCGGGGGCCGCAACCGTCTGCGCCGAAGAGGCTGCAGGTTCGGGTCCTGCATAGACATGGCCCTATTTTTGATTGTCCCTTCACTCCTCATCATCATTCTATCATCTCATAATTTACACTTCAAGGTGTAACAACCTTGTTATACTGAGGGATACAGGTGAAAAGCTGACCTTGGAAAAATTACACACGTTAATCATGTAGCGTGGTCAGTAAGGGCGTATACGCCAACAATAACAACAACAACAATAATAATAATAATAATAATAATAATAATAATAATAATAATAATAAAGTACATAAATAGAAATAGATGAAATACATAAAAGAAACTATTTGAAAAATAATAAAATTGAATACTTACCCAAGTATCACGAATTAAACACATGGTGAAATTACGTCGGCGCCATCTTGTATAGTACTGCGAGTGACAGATTAGAGGAAATAAACATATGATAAACGTTCATATAAAATATTATAGAAATTGTCTGATTGTGCTGAAATTTTGCAGAGATCATTTTCTTGTCTACTGAAACCAGTGGGGGTAGGAGCAGCAAATTGTTAACTTTCAAAAACTTGCCTTATGGGCCACCCTACGAGTGCTCGTTCATTCATCATTGTCACTGGCCAATATAACAGCGGCATTCATAAGTTTTGACAATGATTTTCTTGTAGAAACTTCAATGGACTCGTCTTGAGAAGGAAGTTTGGTAATCTTTCCGATACACATCACATTTTTTAAAATGAAAAACAGGCAGGTTTCAACTTCTCGAGAAGTCTGGTTGTAAGAACATTAACGTACACATCTTCTGTAGTTACCGAAGAAGTGTATGTTTACGTTCTTACGTAGGGTTTTATATTAAGATCTCTCTCTATATCACTGAAAAAGAAGGCTGCTTCCTTTTTCAGGGATACCCTCGCAATATAAGTTATATATTAATGAACCCAAGATTAACGTTTCTCATATAGGATCTATATCTAAAAATATTGGACAAGTTTTCCAAAAATATAATATGAATGTTCGAACCACGTCTGGCTACAACCGCAATTCTGCATATGTAGGTCAAACACGTAGGAACTTTTCTTGTAGAATTAACTCTACACTAAATTTAGGACACTAAAATTAGGCAATTCTACCAACAACAAACAATCTGGACACCTCAAGACAATTCTACAATCCAACCATCGAACTCAACCAAAACCAATCATTTGACACTATTACTAATTTCACAATCCTCCACTTGGAAAATAAATGTAATAAAATGAATATTTTAGAAAATTTTGAAATTTTAAAGCTATTCAGAAACTTGGAATTAATAAATCTCAGTGAACAATGTCAGGTAAAATGCAGCCCCACATTAAAATTCTTTATTGATGAGCTTCTCCACTTCTATTTTCTCCCTTCAAGTTCTTCTACTCAGTACCAGACAAGATGGCGCCGAGGTAATTTCATATTGCACCTAAGAACTACTTCCAAGATTCTTGGGTAACTACCCAGTTTCATCAATTTTCAAATAATTCCTTTATGTATTTCATCTATTTATTTTTATATACTTATTGTTAATGTTTTAGTTTCATTAAATTTGATAATTATATTTGATTTGCAAAATAATTTCCTATCTGTGTCACTGAAGATGAAATAAAATTCCCCAAACGTGCCTGGATCATTATTTTAAAATATTAAATACATTAAAAACGTTTGTGGTTGATCTCTTTAATCCTTAATCATTAGGTAATTCCACAAAAAATCCGTTTCACCTAGGAATTTGCAATTATATGTTTTTTGCTTTTAAATTCACAATGATTAGAGCTTTTAAGACATCACTTTTGTCTTTAATTAGTCTTTATTCTGTATCATTGGCGATGACTACTGAATGTGAAACAAATGTGAATTCTTTTAAAATATTGATATTGTTGCATTTGTTTCAGCTGAGTTCCGCCAGGTTTCCAGTTGTACTGAAAGTAGGACATGCCCATGGAGGACTCGGTAAAGTAAAAGTCGACAACAATAGCGACTTCCAAGATATGGCATCTGTAGTGTCAGTGGCAGGTACTTACTGCACAGCTGAACCATATGTGGAAAGCAAATATGATATTCATGTGCAGAAAATTGGGCCTAACTACAAAGCATTTATGTAAGTATTCCATACGCTATAGAAAGACGGCTATAAAAGAATGGAGAAGAAATAAAGACAGGAAAATCAAAATATAAAGATATATTGTAGTCAGAATTAATCAACTATGCCAAGATATACAATGAGCTGGAATAAACTGATCGAATTATCAGCAGGCGTTGCAATGTAACTAAACGTCTTGAGCAACGTCAATCGAATCATAACTATGGATCAGTGTAGAATATAGTAGAATAGGATATAGAATATAATACTGTGGCGGCACAAAGATTGAGGGATTGTTTAATATGAAATTATAAGAAGTTCTTGCTAAATTTATCTTAACATTACGTAACATTAGGAATCGTTCTTTGTGTAAGAAGCGCACCGTTCCGATGACAGCCAAGACCCCTTCCCTCTCCCTCCGGCCCAAGGGAACATTCGAGTTGGATGTCCGTTGCTGCACACTACCGCTCTGTTTATGTGTCGATGGCATGAACCTACATCCATTATCACTTCTTACCCCTCTCGGCTCTCCACGACGCTCCGGACGGGCATGGAGTATTGCGTAAATGCAAAATCCCCGACTGCGATGGACGAGAATTATGACTTGTACACTTAAGCTTCCGCGACTCGAATCCATAAATTCTGGGCTATCCGGGAGACGCCGCGTTGTGGGCTGGGGTGCCGACGTTTCGCCTGACATGTCGCAGGATTCTTCAGGGCTGTGAGGTCACTGTCCTGTCGTCACTGCCCTGAGGAAGCCTCCGACATGTCAGGCGAAACGTCGGCACCCCAGCCAACGACGCGGCGTCTTCCGGATAGCCGAGAATTTAATTATGACTTGGATAAATAAGGCCCACCTGCGTCGTACGCAGTACTCGGCTGCGGAGCTCGAGGCTTGCACCAGCATTTTCGGAGTGACAGAGAAGGCACTAAAAAAAATTCCACTCAGAAACATTCGAGACGCCTGCAGTGTTGGCCAAGGAAACCGAAATGCGCAATTGGTTTTGACCATTCACAGCGCGTATTCTAAAGGGTAGTGAGAACAAGGGATCGCAGAAGCGGAAAGCAAGAAGGAAGATGGGGCACTGCTGCCGAGTTGGGCGGTTCGCTGACGGGAAGACAGTGTCCGGCTGTACATTTGAGTGGATCGCGATGTCAGAGTTGGCGTTTATCTCGTACGCGATCGTTTAGTAAAGTAATCTTGACACTTGTGAGAAGGTCGTTTAGCTGATGAAAGATCGGAACATCTGAGTGTATTAACGGACATGTTAAAATGGAAATGCTAGGTGCGTTAGTTGTAATCACGCAACCAGTAATGTTGATTGCGATAGCTATGTGCATTATGTCGCACAACCGTTAAGTTATGACTACTGTTCATTCGCGAAGTTCCGTGAATTATCCAGAACCTGCCGCACACTTTTGAGGACAAAGTGAGGAAGAGTGCCTTAAGGTCAATTGGCGTAACGTGTGGTGTGGACTCGTCGCCGCGCACAGCAGCCCGCAGTGAGTGACCGGCGCCCTCTGAGCGTGTGCCATTGGGACGCCCTGGTCTGGCCTAGCGTGGACAGGCCGCGCAGCCTGCGCCAGCACCTCCACACGGGAAGACAGCTGAAGCGTCAACGACCACCCGCGGTCGCCGCGAGGAAGCAACCTTGTCGCTCAAGGAAGCGGTGAAGTCTTTTGACGCAAAACCACGCGAAGGTTTAAAAGCTCTTCAAGACAATTGGGAAAATAAAAATAACTTTTGGTACTCCTATAACTCCTGAAAGAACAGGGAATAATTTAAAGAAAGTTTTATGTATGACTTGGCATGGCCGCGCTTTGGCCTTTTAACTTCTTTTAGACAAACGTGATGATGTAATCGCAAATTTATTACTATGTTTATTCAGGCAAGGAGTTCGTAACGTTTCAAGATCTTTTTGTAAATCTTAAATAATTAAAATTATGTTTAAATTATTATTTGAAAAAGCAGTTTTTTGTGTTCATTTTGAACGACGCCCCATTCCATTCTACTAAAAAAGGTATGCCGCAGGATCTGAGTTAGGTGGCGTGGCGTAATAATGTGGCGACTGATTAAAATTGAAATTACATATCCAACGCGACGTCAGAATATGGAATAGAATAAAGAATAGGTATGTAAAATATCAAGAGGTTTTATTCATTTATATTTTTAATTTATTTTTTTCGTTAACAGTTAAAAGCTGCGTTACGGGCTACGGGGAGAAGTGAATTTCGTGCACTATTTTATTATTCTGTAATCTCTACCTTAATCCATAAACTAGTTGAATTTTGAATACAGAAGGGAATGCGTGTTTTTTCCAAGGATTGTTAATAAAATACTCACTCCGATCTAATAACATATATTTTCAAGTGTAAATCAGCTATAAATGTTGCCTCTTATTCCTCATCATGTCCTTCGTAAATGAATAATACTTCCTGCCGCTACAACATGGAGAACGATAACTTGAATAACTATTGTAACGTATTAGCCAGCGTGCCTCATGGCATCTATTTGGGGACGCTTGGTTGCGGATTAGTCTCGCCACAGGAAGTAGGGTTTTTCCGTAAAGGGAAGAACGCGGAGACGGGAGACACAAGGCTTTGGGTGTCTTCCGGCTTATAGAAGCTTTTCACTGTTATAACAAGCGAGGGGGTGGCGTGACGTAGGAGGTCACGTGGGCCTCGCCTATATAACAGAGTGTACGGAGCCAGTAGGCAGGTTCTGGAGACGGTGGGAGAACCTCGTGCGTGTGCAAAAAACTTGGCGCCTAGACGGTGCATATGCGAGCCAGGCTCGCGAGGCTGGAGTCATTAGTTGACGAAGCCTGCGGACTTTATGTCCTTGGGTGACTGCGGTCACGGGGGAGCGATGCTGTGTGCGTGCTCCGAGGTGAAGAGTGGTTGAGTGCCACGATTCACGCCGATTCTCAATCGGATAAGATCGCTCCTGCGATCGAGGCAAACCAGCCGTTGGTGCGCCAGAACGGACTTTGTGTCCCAGCGTGACACCCGGTCACGGAAGCTAGGCTTTGTGCGCGCTTCAAAAGTAGGAGTGGCGAATGCCACAATCAAAACCATCTTCAATCGGGTTTTGGATCGCTCCCGCGATCAGGGGATAGTAGGTCTATCAGAGCTAGGGTTTAAGTAGATTATTAAGTGTATATATTTGTATTGTTTTCTTGTTAATAAATATATTTGTTATACGAAAGCTCTGTGTCTGTGGTCGCTGTGAGTATCCATGACGTCACACTATATTACCCACTAAATTCTAGAAGACGTGCAGAGATCATGAAGCTACATTGATGTCCAGAAGCAATACAAGGGGTCTTCCGAGCATTTGCTCAAAGGATCAGGGAAACTGGACGGAAAACCTGATTGAGACATTGACACAGAAGCTGAGGTTACTTGTTACATGTTGTTTAGAATTGTACAGTAGAAATGGTAAATAATACATTAAATATCATTGTTAAAACTAATATTACTTTCCCTTTTGATGCTCGGTAGTCTCAAATCCTATAGAAACAGTTATGCAGCAGATACATTTCCTTTGGGATTTAAACCTTCTTATCGATGTTAATCATCTTGAAAAGTGTTGTAAAATAATGTACATGTATTGTATGTAAATAATGTACATGCTGTTGATACTGTTGATACTGTCACCTGATGAATATAATTACTGCGTGTTATAGGTATAGACTTCGGCGTTTGCAGAAAATATATTCCCGCCCTTAAGTCATTTTTCACAAAAACACTAATTGGTAAATCAAGAGACAGTAATCGTAAAATTTCTATATTAATAAAGAGAGACCGGGATAGGTGGCTCAGTGAATCATCTGATGTCACTACAGTGCCTCTGACCGGAAGGTCCTAGTTTCGAGTTCCGACAGTTTCAAGATTTTCAGCACTAGCTTGTCATCTACACCGAATTCAGTCGCTGTCTGGGGAAGAATTTTAGAGGCCGGATTGGTAGTTTTCCGTGATTTCTCCTAACACCACCAGGAGAATGCTGGAGCAGTATTCTAACAAACAGGCCACGGGCCTCTCACGATCTTTCTTTCCTTTTCCTTGTCTATCCTCATTTCTTACAGACACACACACTGATATGCACTACATTACCACTGATGTCGAAAGAGCAGGGAGCTTAGAGTTTGCCGCGGCAGGGGCAGTGCCCTACTGGTAGGAGATATCTGGTTAAGGGAAACCCCGCTGGCCGACGGCAGGTCGGCGCCGGATCTCACCATTTCAGGATCACTGCCGTCTTCCGAGCAAAAACATGCACTACGTTTACGGGACAAATTACCTCATTAGTTGCTCCCAGAATCACTAACAACCAGCCAATAAAGAGAGACCGACAAGTTTCACGTGGGTGGGATTTGCTCAGTATTCGTACAATTCAAAAAGAATTGCAATCTACAAGTCTGGGAGCTATAGGATGTATTTTCCCAGAATATTATGCCGTATCACAGGCGAGAATGGACACTCACGAAATATACACAACGAGCAGTATGAAGGCTGACTGAATTTGAAAGGTTACTGAATGCGTAGCATTATGAGCTTAAATTTGTGTTCAATTCATTTAAATGGACGTTCCATTTGAGAGACCTAAAAATGTTGTTACCTTAACGTCAATCAATGGCACACCGTTTATTTGGAGTACAGAATTGTTTAATTGAAATGGAAATCTGCATTCAAACCGTTTTCTTTTCATTTACTATTATTTTTTATTACTGAACCAATTTGAAACATCTTATACTGTACTATCTTCGGTTTCTTTATTGCAAAGAATATACGTGTCATCAGCAAAGAGAACTGTTCTTCTGTTTCGAATCGCCGAAGCCATATCATTTACGTATAGTAGGATATTTCCTAAAATCGATCCCTGTGAGACTCCATGTGCAATTGGCAATGGATCGGACAGATGTGTTTATAAAGGTATTTCTACTCTCTGAGGTCGTTATTTAAGGTATGAACATAACCAATCTATAGCAATATCACGGTTTTCATACGAAAGTCATTTTGAAAGTATAATGTAAAGATCAATGATGTCAAAAGCTTTCGAAAGATCTAAAAATATTCCAATCAAATATTAGTTTTGATATATGAATGAGGCGGCATCTTTAAGAAATTAAAAATATGGTTCTTCACGTAGATTTCTATTTTTGAAATTAATGTTGGCAATCTGAAATCGCGTCGTGCTTACTGAGATAGTTTTCCATTCATACGTAAAAAAGTCTAATATTGTTGAAAAAACTAATAAAAGAGAAATTGGTCGATAATTTTGAATTACATTATTTTGCCTTTTTTTGAAGAGCGACTTAATCTTAGCTGTTTTGAAATAAAAAAAAGCAATTGAATTGTGTCAAGTGGGTGCATTTTTATTTCTGTGTTAATTTTTCCCTGTGAACATATATATTCATTTCTTTTGTAAATAATAAAGAATTTACATGTTTCTAGAGTGTTTATATGCTTCTGAAATTCAAAGTTTTGAATAGAAAATACTTTTTTAAACCAACTTTAGAGTGCTTATTGCGGCTCTGCCATTCGAAATATCGAAGGAGTTTATTAGACAAAATATTCTTAAAATTCACTTATTAATATGCTTAAAATTATTGTTAGTGTAGTAGTTAAAGAATGACGCAAAAAAGTTTTGAACTTCAGCAAATTTTCAAAAAATTAGTGTTTTCAACGAACTCTTAAACGTCCTTCACACTTTCCAACAACAAACTTTAATAAAAAACGATGCAACAATTTTTCGAAAATGTCCCAGGGCCTTTATGTAAAGAACTTCCAAAATTTAAATATCGGTTTTAAATTCAAGGGGCCGCGACATCTGCCAGATCGATTGATCAGTTTTGGAGAAAATCGCCTGAGCGGTTTAACCGCTAGTGTTGTTCACAGACGGACACACGTTTTGCCGTCAATCGATTTTTCGGTATGAAGGACGCACAAAACGTGGATTCTGGCCACACCGTGTGTTTGAGGATTTCCCCCTTAAGTTTTCCTACTGGATTTATCCACTTTTTCGTTACCAGCGCCCGGCAATAAGAGTTTTTGTTCCGAACATTCGCCGCTTTTTTCCGCAGCATTACATAACTCTCTTGCTACTGCGTAAGCTGCGACAAAGTAAAAATTGAAGCCATTTTTTAGAAAAAATTGAAAATATATTTCACGTAAAGTACTTTCAAAAATAAAAATTCCTGTTTGAAACTCCCAATGTTTCGAGTTCGTTTAGATCGATTGAGGATTATCAATTTTGGAGAAAATCAAATGAAGGTTTAGGCGCGAGCGTTCACCACATTTATCCACGATCTCGTTACTAGGACTCACCAATAATTGTTTTTCTTCCGAAAGTTCTTCTTCCGGATGGAATGATGGTGTAACTGAAATTTTAGAATTCAAAATTTCTCTACGGGGATTTTATGGAGTTGATGTATTCAAAATTTAGAATTTCGCATGTCATGTTGCTAGTCACTTTTAGATTCAACTTTTGATTTGAGATTTTTGGTTTTGTGTGACTTGAAACAAATTTTACTAAAGCATCAACATCTACTGAAGAATAGGAATATTGTTTGTTTTCCTATGTAATTTTAAAATGTATTTTTAAAATATTAAGAAATGTGACACACCTTTTACTCTAAAAGGAATATTCTTATTTTGAAGAATTCTATCAATGTACTTTTGATCGATACTGAAGTTCATTTCAATTGTTGCAGGCGCAAGTCAATCTCGGGTAACTGGAAGACAAACATGGGATCTGCAATGTTGGAGCAGATACAAATGACAGACCGATACAAAATGTGGATAGACGAGGTAGCAGAGTTGTTTGGAGGCCTTGACATATGTGCTCTAGAAATTATTGTTGGAAAAGATGGGCGTGAATTCATTATCGAGGTGAATGACAGCGCTCTCACATTAATGGGAGATTCTCAAGAAGAGGACCGTCGCCATATTGCTGAACTCGTGGTACATCGAATGCAGGTAAGGAACACAGAATGTCGAGAAATAATCAATAAACTCATAATTTAAAAAAAAAACGAATATATTTAGCGGCAAAATGCTATCAGCGTGTGTTATGGTATTAAGGTTATAAATTGCAGAGAAATGTGACTTATGATATATGGCTATCTAAAGCATAAGACATTTGCTCACACTAAAGTTATATGCAACAAATAATTCGAGTATTTGAGGAATTTTGTCAATTTCCAGAAGTCTTGATTTGTGTTCAGCATTCCAATGTTTCGTAGCTGCACACTGTGACTTTAATTTATAATATCAGAGCATTTTAATTAGATTTAATAGATTAAATGAATCGTACCCATAAAACAATTGATAATATTAAATTATTGTTGTGTGCGGAGTGCGATGTTTTCTTAACTCGACAGTTTCACCAATAACGCCGCAACGCCCCTCCAGCCCCGTTGGCAGACGCCGCGCCAGTGTCTGCTGTGACGCAGCAGTCAGTTTCAATTTTTTTCTCCGGAAGTAACATTTAAACTAAATTTTCTGGAAGGCGTTTTTTTTCGTAAAAAACTGCATCTTTCATTCTTCGTGATATTCAACATAGAATCTGTTGTTATTTTTTGTCTCGGGACCTTCCGGACTTCTGTATGCAGTGTTGGAGCCACAAAACTTAATTGAGACCGTTGAACACAACGGTGCCAAACCGATCTTGTGGAAACTTATCAGTGCAAGTAGTGTAAGGCAATTGCAGTTTATAGATGGAGTAATGAATTAATACATGTACATTGAAGTTCTAAAGTCAAACTCGTAAATTAGTGCTGTTAGAAAGGCTACATTTTTCAGTTGATAATTAATGGCCTTAAGCATATCACTTAGAATACAGCATTTTAGATCATGGACATGTACCGAAAAAAGTACACATCCACATACGCATCACACGATCTAAATTCATTTGAACATTTATGGAGCATTCTCGAGATGAACCTTCGAAAAACGAAAAATGGAAACAAATAGGATCTCATGGGAGCATTAGAAGGAATGTAGGACAGCCTTGCTGTCCAAATATGCGGTAACTTGCAAAATCCATGCCACAAGCATTGTAGCCTGAGGCTACAAATCTATTCAAAGGACATTCCTTCGAAATACGACGTTCTTTTGTAATAAATACTTCATATGCCCCAAGCCTTTTTTCTCCGGAAGTAACATTTAAACTAAATTTTCTGGAAGGCATTTTTGTCGTAAAAAACTGCATTTTTCATTCTTCATGATATTCAACATAGAATCTGTTGTTATTTTTGTGTCGGGACCTTCCGGACTTCTGTATGCAGTGTTGGAGCCACAAAACTTAATTCAGACCGTTCTTGTTTTCATTAGTATCGAGGTATTGTTTAGTTTTGTGAAACTATTTTGGGGGAAAATAAACGAAGAACGTTTTTGTGGTCAAGATTGTTAATAAATGTATAATGACCCTTGAAGTTTTAGACAATCATTAAAAGTTGCCACCATTATTAAGTTAGTATCTTTGCTTATTGTTTTCGGGATTCTGTTGTCTATTGTGTATTGTAGGCAACAACGTTTCGGGAACCTACCTTTGCGCCATCTTCAGATTTTCAAAATTCTATACATGATCACATTAAAGCAACAACTTTATAGAAAAAAATGTTCTAAAATCTATGTGACCCAACGTCTTACTTCTATTTGTTATAGACTGTCGGAGAAAGTATACATTACAAATGGTAGATTTTAAATACGTGCGCTTGTCGCTTTATTGCCCTAATACAGGAATATTACTGAAATCCTAATAATGTAAATCAACAGCTTCATATAAGTTGTGTATCTTTTGTACACAAGTATACAGTAAAAAAGAGATGAGAACACTTTTTTATACTATATGTAATATTCTCGTAAACATGCACATTATTGTTTGTGGACGTGCCTTACGGCAGATTTACACTGCAAGTTATCTATGTTGTTCTATCATGAGTTTGTTCTTTCATCCGATTGAAATTTCTCCTATTTAACACACTACAAAGTATTCTGATTTTTCTTCGCCCATTTTCTCTTTTCCTATCGATTTTTTCTTCTATTCATGGTTATGCAAGCAATTTTGGTGCTGTATATCACCTTCAGAAATCTCCTTCCAGCTCTTTATTACATCAACCAATTTCCTGTATTCTCATTTCCTTTGTATGTCATAATTTATTTCTTAATTTTAGAAGATTTTATAGATTATATGAATAGTACACATTACACACTTGGTTCCGTTAAAATACCTCGTGCGCGGCAAGCGATCTACCTCACTCGACAGTTTCACCGAAAACGCAAAGAAAGGATGCTTCGCTCAGCCTCTTCGGCAGACCCCGCGCCGGTGTCTGTAGTGTCGCAGCAGCAGTTTTGAATTTCGCTCCCGAAAGTAACTTTTAAACTCAATTTTATGGAAGACAAAATTTTTATCGGAAAAACTGGACCTGCCATTCGTCATGAACTTTTTTGACGGGAGGTTCTGGACACTATACACACACGCACTAACTATATATATATATATATATATATATATATATATATATATATATTTTAGTTGTATTTTTCGAGATATTTGAAGTGACTTTGTTTTTTAAAATGTAACTATACATATTTTTTCAGCCTATCATGACGAGCGTAAATAGATGAATCCAATGATATACATATTGCCATGTGTTAGATAAGCATTGTTTTTGTAATTTTGATTCTTTTGCGAGTAGTGTTTAACGGATATTATGGATGAAGTAACAGTCCACCATACAAGGTCGCGCTACGCTCCTCCTGCTAGCGCTCGCTCGGGGAAGGGAAGTGATCTTAGTATTTGAAGATACTAAACATATTCCAAATATTTACAAAACTGGCACTTTTCGCCCTGAATTCTGATTCCCATTCTTCCGCATTTTCATATTTTTTGTATTGCTTGAAGATGGAAAATACGGACTTGTTACAAGTTGTATGTATTGAAATACGATTATGCGTTATTTCAACTTCATTGAAAGGAGTGTCACACCACAGAATATTAATAGGATCTTGAAACTAAACACACAATTTTGTGAATATTTGGAATATGTCTAGTACCTTCAAATACTAAGATCTCTTCTCTTCCCCGACCGCGCGCAAGCAGGGGGAGCGCTGCGTAACCTTGTGTGGGGAACTGTAACATCAAACTAACCGTTAAACACTAGTCGCAGAAAATTCAAAACAATGCTTATCTAAAATGTGATAATATGTATATCATTGAACTTATTTTTTTACGCCCGTCATGCTAGACTGAAAAAATATGTATACTTCCATTTGAATAAAAGGTACGTGATTTACCCTGTATGTATACAGGGTTATAACTTCACAAATAAGCTCTTAAGACAATTTTAAGAATATTTTGTTTAATTAAGTATGTGGATATGCCGAATGGATAAGCTACTGTAAGCACTCAAACGTTAGTTTGAAAAAATGATTTCTAGACAAAAAATTGTATTTTAAAAGCACAGAAGCTTCAGAAACACGTAAATTGTTTATAGTTTACAAAAGAAATACATATATTTGTTCAAAAAGAAAAAATTAAGCGAGAAATAAAAAAAGCTGTCGAATTGTGTAAGTTGGGTGCTTTTTTATTTGTGGCTTAATTTTTCTTTCTGAACAAATATATTAATTTCTTTTGAAAATTATAAACAATGTACATGTTTCTGAAGTGTTTTTATGCTTCTGTAATTCAATTTTTGCCTAGAAATAATTTTTCAAACCAACTTATGAGTGCAATTCTGCTCATCCATTCGGAATATCCACGTAGTTAATGAGTCAAAATATGCTTTAAATTATCTTAAGAGTTTATTTTCGAATTTTCGACGTTTCCTCCCCGGACATTCTGTATATATATAGAGTCCTAGAGGGTGCAAAAATAATCTTTCCCCCCACACCGTTCACTGTGGATCGTCTCCGCGGCTACCGGCAGAATTTTGTCTTTTTCAGAGCCCAAGAGCTTCAGAAATTGCCTCATACGTTTTTATTATTAACAATGTGCATGTTTATTTCCGTTAAAGAGGTTAACGTGAGAAAGCAGCAGCCATTGATTGCTTCCTTTCAGTTGCATTAGCATAAGATAAGTTTGCGCTGAGCATCAACGCGTCACCAGCTACTGCACATTTTTATCGTTCCATTAACGAGCACGTGAAATTTGCTATTCCCGCATGGCTAATGATAGCCGTGAATTTTATACCGGAATTCATGAATCTTCCATTCCGTATGCAAATAAACAGTGTTCCTGTTGACGAGAACCTCCTGTGATATGCTCTGTTGTACCGACCAAACAGGTGTTTGGACAACTTTTGAAGACTGTATAGTGACCACAGGGCTTCTCCCGGCATCTATTATTATGTCATTATTAAACACGATCTCCAACCTGAGTGTTCATGAAGGGTTTGCTAGTATTTTATGTCCTGTTTTTCAGATGGCAGAGGCAGTACTTATTCTGATTTTTTTGTCCTTTCTTCGAGGGAAATATTTCTTTACTATGTTTCGCTTATTAATTATCTGTTTTGAATGTGTTTCCCTTCTAACTGTTCATGTATTTCACCCAATTCGTATGATCATTAGAAAGACTTCGTTAACAACTGTTTGGAGGTTCACGCAGGATATTTTACTTATTTCAAACTGTCAGTTTTTATTTCCATAATGCACGGACTGAACATCTTAAATTAATAGTTTTCTCCAGAAATACTCCAACAAAACTATTCCGGATAAGAGTACTAGGAACTAGTGATGCTAAAACAGCACATACTTGGTCGCAGTTTTTTTTATTTGCAATTTTCGAAAACTTAGAGATTTCGACGAAAATGGGACTTGAGGCATTCTTATAGTCGTCCCTTGATGTATTCGAAGAATACATTTGGAACGGTTTTCTATTTTTTTTAAAA